GAGGGAGGTGTCGCCAAGGACAAGGCTACCTTCTCATTGCCACGCCCTCTGCACACGTGGATCCAGAGATCAGGAGAAAATATAGCTTCCAGTAGGAAAACTCAAAAATTGGAATGGACTCTTAACTGTGGAGGCTCCATGCCCCTCCATTACAGTCACCTTAAGATTACCCAGGGCGAAAGCCACCTGTGAGCTCAGATCTGTCCCTGGCATTTGGTCTGAAGATCCTCAGCCTGGCCTCAGCTGCTTGGGTCACCTAGTTGCCCAAGACCCAGCACTTAGAGCTGACAGAGGGCGCCTGCCACTCCTCCCAATCACATTCCCTCCAAAGGTCAGGGTGCAGGACACACGAAGGCACCTGCTGCACATATCTGGCAGGGAGAGCTGACAACAGCATTCACACTCTCACACACGTAGGAGAAAGAGCCCCAGGCCTGTGGAGGAGACACCTTGTGTGGTGATACTGACTGCAGCCAGGTCACAGACAGCCTCTACTCTGAGACCCAGAAATGCAGCCAGGCGGTTGCTAGCCACAGACAGCCACCTTTCTGTTGCACCCAGACCCCTTTGCGCAGCATCCTGCCTGAGCAAGACCAGCTCTGTGAGAAGTCTTGGAAGACCCTGCCTTCCTCTCCGGGGACCCAAAGGTTGTCAACCCAGCCCTTTTTCCTGGCCAGACCAGGTGTCAGCAAAGCAGACAGGACAGGAATCCTAGGTGCACATGGACTGTTCTGCAGAAACTTGGCTAGCCTTCCCGGCAAAAAGGCTTCAGGTCGGATTTGGTGAGAAAGTGGAATGGAATGATGCTGAGGCTCTGGCAGGAGATATCTGGAGCCAGAATAGGCCTGCAGAGTTGGCAAAATGAAATAGCCTAGCCCCCCAGGGTTGGCTACTGGACCCAGGGTCCCAGAATGAGCTGCTATACCCAGGCCCCTAGGGCTGACTCCTCCACCCAGGCTGGGGACAGATTCAAACCCTTGGCTCCCTTTTTCTTAATCATCATGGGTGGCCAGGGCACCCAAGAGTAGAGTTGGGACTGGGTCAGCACACTGGGGTCAACAGTATCTGGGCACAGGGCCTCTCCTCCTTCCTCCTCCACCGTGCCTGTGAGTCAGAGGGCAGCCAGGAGACTCCTCCCTCAAAAGCTTCTGCCCTGTGGCTACCAAAGTCTCTCCCCTCCTCACACTCCCTCCTGCAGAGTACAGCCCTTTAGAACTTGCTGCCTCTCGCAGTGGTCTGAGCAGTCCCTGCCCCACTCCCCACACCCTTTCTGCTGGTAAGTCGCCCCCCCCCCCACTTCGGAGCGCAACAAGGGTCACTGCCAGCCCCATTCCCAAGCCAAGCTCCCGTACCCCCGGCCCCACCGGCCCCACTCGGGACCCCAGGCCTGCCAGAGGGCCGCCTCCCTCTGCCGCAGTCAGCACACTGAATATTTAATGTCTGACGAACGCTTCCACCTGCTGACACAGGCAAAGTGGCAGAACAATGCGATGCCGAGGACGGGGACACAGCCAGTCCCCTTACAGACGGCCTCCCGCGGCCCTGCCCGCCCGCCCCGCGGCGATCTCCCGCCCTGAGCAGCCACCCACAGGGCACAGGCCACCCCTCGGTCTGGCGAGAGAGTTCCTAGCCTGAAATACATACTTCTTTACATTCCATAGCTTAGCAGGTCCATATGGGCATATAAAGAAGTATGTGCCCCAAGCAGGTAGTTCAGTGTGCACAAGAATGTGGCCCAACACAAGCTGACCCCATTTAGTGGGGAAAGGAAAAATTCCCACAAAGTTCTATGTGCTGAAGTTCCCCATGCCAGGTCAGGACGCATCCCTGCCCCATGACTCTTCTGTGGTGCATCCCTCTCCACTCTTCACCCTGCCTGTGTCTCAGTCTCTCTCACACATGTGCACACTTGGTAAAGAAGTGTGGAAGCAGACAGGGCATACTGGAAAGTCTCAAAAATCTCATCCTTAACCGTTAGTCGTTTTTCCCTCAATGGAACAAGACTGGAGTTCTCTCCCATTCTCCCTGACGGAGGAGAGTCGTATCCCAGATTTTCAGAAACAGCACCCAGCCTCTGCCAACATTTTCCCTCTCCTTCCTGCCCACCTTGCCCCCACCAAGGACAGAGAGGAGGGGGTAAAGAGACAGAATTCAGGAGAAGCTCCAACACCCGGACCAAGGACCACACACATCATTTTCCTAGGAACTGAACAGCCCAGCTCCCTAAGGACAGATGAGGACAAGCCGTTTCAGGGGTCTCCAGAAATGAACCAGGGGGCTTACCTGGGCAAGTGATGGCCTCCCTGTCAGGGCCCTGATGAATTCTGTCTCCCTCCCTGAGAGGAGGGCTCCGTGCCTCTTTCTTTGAAGTGAAGGAGAAAGATGGTGATCTTGGACTCCATGTTCCCACAAAGTGTCTAGGGGCTACTGAAAGGTGACCTATTCACGGTCAGCTCTTCGGGGCTCAGCCTGGCCTCAGAGCTGATGTTCAACCAGTGAGGAAGTGTTTCTACTCTGGCTGCCTCCTCCTCTGGTCCCCTCCCCTCTTCTCTTTTCTGTACCCTCTAACCTCTCTGCATCTGCGGTCACCAGCCTGACCTGCCTCCATCCCTTGCCATGCAGCGTGGCCACCTGAGATGATGGCGAACAGTCACTCCACATGAAAATTCAGAGGTCATCCCTGAAGGACTTGTCCCTCAACTGATCCATCCAACTTCCATCAGTCCCTGATTAGTGATTTATAGCTAAACAAAGGGGCTGTCCTCCTGGACCTAAAGATCCTTGCTTGCACCAACTTCTGAGAAATGTATAGGCAAATTTGAAAAGTGCTTGGGAAACTTAGTTGCATTTTGTTACTCCTCTTGATTTTTGAGATCTCTCTGGAAGTAAAGTGGAGACTCTCTTCTGCCCTACCAACTTCTACACCCAGAGAGAGGTAGAAGGGGATCTGAAAAACAGAAAGATGGGCAGGACTTCGAGGTCAGGTCCTCAATGGTAGACCTGAGCCCTTCTCAGACTGACAGAAAGAGAATGAGAAGGAAAAAAAGGGAGAAAGGGGCGGAGAAGGAGGAGAAGAAAGAGGAGGAGGAGAAGAAAGAGGAGGAGGAGGAGGAGAAAAAAGAGGAGGAGGAGGAGGAGGAGAAGGAGGAGGAGGAGGAGGAGGGGACTCACATGCTAGGAGGCTCACCATCACCCAAGGTGAGCCTGCAGGTAAGGTGCTGCAACCCTGGACCAGGTGTCTCTGCAGGTGGCTACCTATGGAGAGAGCTGAAGATACCCACTGCAGGAGGAGCTGGGCTGGTGCAAATACAGAGGGTCTGGCTGGGCTTGGTCCTGGTGTGGGGCTGCAGGGCAGTCCCAGTGCCTGAAAGAATGTCCAGTTCTCCCTTGTCAGCAGGATGATGTCTGTCTCTGGCATGACCTGACCAGCCCTGTCCCTGTGAGGAAACACCCCAGAGAGCATCCAGACTCTCCAGTTACTGGGAGGGCCCTGTCTCTGCAGAGCCTGCAGCATGCAGAGGTCCCCCTGGCTGTGGCAGCTGCAGCAAGGCAGGGTGGAAAAGGGATTAGGGCGCTGAGAGGCACTCTCATGCAGCAGGAAGGAGCTACCTGGCAAGGGACAGAAACTATGCCCATTTCCCATGTGGTAATTGTTAAATTTTCCTTTCCACATAGCCAAGGATAAAAATGGCAGCCAGCACAGCAGCCTCAGCAGCCAGCCTCTGGGGGTACCCCTGGTGTGGCTGAGCCACTGACCCTGGCTCCCACTTATGCCTCCTGAGAACTCTAAGAACAGATACCTCAGCCCTCTGCCCCACCTCCCAGGTGTTCCTTTGATGATGTCTGGATGCCAAACAGAAAGTTGGGGGCACCAGAAGAACAGGAGTCAACTCAGTCCACATCCTCAGGAGCTGCTCATTCGCAAATGAATGAGAGTCACTTCTCAAAAAGTTTCCCACCTTAACAGAAAAGTGGTATCAGCCACCTCCAAGCAGACCCCCATGGCAAGCAGAGCTGGCGCCTGGGGCGGGGCCTTATCCAGAGTCCCTCCACTGTGAACACTGGCTCAGCCCTAGCCCCAGCCCCAGCTCCAGCCCCTGGATGCCTGACACAGCACCCTTTTGATCCTGGCAGGGCTGGGAGAGCTTCAGAAATCCAGAGTCCCAGTCCATGACAGCCTTGTCAGCGCTCCTCAGAAATTCCCCACCCCCAAGGCACTCATGTCGAGGTTGCAAGTTCCAGGGTAAGTTTAGCCACAACACAATCTCTGCTGTTGCACTCAACTGGTTAATCTATTTCCTCAGCTCCCGTGCCAATCCCCGAGAACAGCGGGCGCCATCCACCCTGCCCTCCACCAAGCATCCAGGGGCGCTGCTTTCTTGCAAAAAGCCGTATGTCAAAGTTCCTGCATCCCGGTTGGACGCGCCCTCCCAACCCTCCCAGCCCTGCCGGCTGCTGGCTCTGCAGTTTTCCAAATGTGGATGATGCTAGGAGCCAAGAGAAAACTCCAGGCACCCTTTCTGGAGCCACGCGGCACCAGCACCCACAGCACCCACCTCACCAGAGGGCACACCCCCACCACTGCCGATAAGTTTTCAGGGGCTTTCCTAGCTGGTGGGCAGCTACAGCAGCCAGCTGAGAAGGACTCACCAGGGAGCCCTGGGCGCCCCTCGGGCTGGGCTGGTGACCGCGGCAGCAGTGGCAGCGGGCGCAGGGTCGCGGCTCCCCGGGAGATGCTGCAGCAGCGGCAGCGGTAGCCACCTCCTCCCGGAGCCAATCGCAAATGCAGGGGTGGGGGCGGGCCGGAGCTCCCGTTGCGTCCGCACTTGTGGGGGGGGCAGAGAGAGAAAGAAGACACCAGCACCCCGACTCCGCACCCCTGCCCTTCCCCCAGCTCTCCTGCAGCAGCGCAGACTTAGCAGCAGGGAAATCTTGAGAGAGAAGGAGGAAGAGGGAGAGGGGAGGGGAAGGGAGGGGAGGGGAGGAGAGAGAGAGAGAGAGAGAGAGAGAGAGAGAGAGAGAGAGAGAGAGAGAGAGAGAGAGAGCGAGAGAGAGCGCTGATGCAGAGTTAAGGAGGCAGAGCCCAGCTGCACACCTTGCCGGCCAAAGCTGCAGGAAGCTCCTGCACCCTCAGCCCTGTCGGTACCAGGTAGAGGTCAGAGCAGAACAAAAGGGAAAAAGAGAAAAGCCCCGCGGGTATGCACGCTCACACATGCACGCAGCCCCACAGGCCAAGATTCATGCATGCAGGGGGGTGGGGGGAGGGCAGAGCCGGGATGGCCTGACCCAAGGCTGGTGGGGCATGGGGCCCTTGGATCAGGAGCGACCTCACCTTGGCAGTTCTTATATACCCGGCCAAACATCCCAAACACGCGGCCCGGCCAAGTGGCCCCCCTCGGGCTGTGCGCCCTGACCATATTTAGTCAAGCAGGGGAAAAAATAGCCTGTCAGCTGGGCCGAGGCTGGCCAGGCAGCAAGGAACAGGGTGGGAGCCCCAGCACCATTGACAGCGGCCCTGGGCTGCCCCGTCCCCCTCTCAACCCCTCCCTGACCAGCCTGCTACCGGCTGTCCCTGTCCTGTCCGAATCCCCCTGCTATTTTTAGCTAGGCCCAGTACAGAGGTGCCTCCTCCCCAGTGGGCACTCGCCTCTCTCTGAGGCCCCAACAGCCCATTCCTCAGAGTGCCTTGGGGAGACTGGAGCTGCTCCAGGGAGCAGGGCCCAGGGAGGGGAATGGGTGCCACACTGGCCTTAGTCCCCTAAAGGTGTCTTTTTTGCTCAGATATAGGGTTGGGTCAAGGGACAACAGAGTCATCAGTTTTCCTGAGGGTCCCAAGCCAACTCCAGGTAATGAGAATTGCAGGTCACCTTGAGCAGCAGACAAGGCCAACTCACTTGTCACTCCCACCCCCTCAGACCCTGACATCAAGGGTGTGTGGCTAGAAGACCCCATTTCCACCATGGTGAGTATGATTGGGAGTGCCTCCATTCTGGCTCCCACCTGGGTCATATAAAAGACATGGCTTGGGAACATGGCCCCATTGGGCTGGGACTCAGAGTCTAGCAGCCTGGGATCAGCCAACTATCCCCTTCCAGCAGAGTGACATTGAGCAAGTCTCTACCACCCTGCTGCTGTAAAGTACAGTGACAACCAACAGTTGAGATGGCTTGGGAATCACTGGTGGAAGGCCTGAGCAGGCCCCACAGTGGGCATGAGTGCTCCTACTGGCCAAGCCCTGTACTGAACACAGGCATCCAAGGGCTTCCTGCTGTTTTAGAATCTACTCACAAATCTCCTTCCTCCTGTACTTAGAGAGGTGTCCTCCCTGTACTGGCAAATATGGGGAAACAAGACCATTTACAGCTTCCCAGGAGACACATGTGAGCAGCCTGCTTCCACCCAGGCCACTTCCCACGTGGTGAGGTAAGGACACCCCTTCAGCTTCACTCCCAGGCTCTTGGCCACCCAGCAGGAGAGGACACTGACTGAGACCAGTCTGCAGAGGCAAGAGAGAGATGAAGTCACACCATAATCACCACAATGGCTGGTGTGACCAGTGTCCCAACCAAGGAGGGAGAAGGGTCCCCATTGCTGGCCGAGCTGGGGTGGACTCACAGGCTACAGGGCTGCCTCTTTTCCAGAGAAGATATAGTGAGCAAACTATCCCAAGTCCCCCCGGGACACAGCCAGAGGACAAACTCTTGAAGAGGGAAGCCCTGGGCCCCAGCTTCTATTCTCTTAGAACCTCACTGTCCACCTATAAGGGAGCAAACACTTCCTCACAGAGGGTGCGGAGAAGTTCATCTGGGACCACCATGTTGCCTTAGGTCCCCTCAAGGCTGCATGTGTGGTTAGGTATGGTAGCACAAGTCTATAAGACCAGCATTCAGGAGGTGGAGTTGCCAAGAGTTCGAGGCCAGCCTGGGCTACGGTGAATACCAAGCCAGCAGGAGCTACATAGTAAGACTGCTTCAAAATAAATAAGCAAATAAACGATTAAGTATTGTACCCATAACGACATGTGTAGTTAGGAAGGCCTCTAAAACAGTTGTCCCCAACACATTTACCTTTGAGTCTTTCTTTCTTTCTTGTTTGTTTGTTTTGTTTTGTTTTGTTGTTTTGTTTTTTCGAGACAGGCTTTCTCTGTATAGCTTTGCGCCTCTCCTGGAACTCACTCTGCAGCCCAGGCTGGCCTGGAACTCACAGAGATCCGCCTGCCTCTGCCTCCTGAGTGCTGGGATTAAAGGCGTGCACCACCATCGCCCGGCGTTACTTTTGAGTCTTAATACCTCTTTTTGGTGCTTAGAAAATTTAATGTATGAATGATGGATGAATGAATGACTTAATCAATCACTGACTGAACCATTGATCACTAGACAGCTCAGGGCATTGGGATGGGACTGAGGGCTCTGTTTCTGTGGTTCAACTTGAATTTGGATGAGACTTACATCTTATGGGGCAATGGTGTAAGTGTCCACGATGGGTCAGCTCTGTCAGAGGTAATAGAGACATTTCCCCACAGCTGTGTGGGGTTCTTATAGAGACTAGCTTCATATCTTGGGTATCTTTGGTCACCCACAATGAGGCAAAGCCACCCAAGATCCTTTGTGCTCCACCCAGTAAGTTCTCAGGAAGAGGGTTTTTCATGGATTTTATACCTCAGCAGGGGCCAGCCACTGAACCTGGACAAGCCAGCCTGCCCTCCACCCAGGATCAGGAGTTGGGGCACCCTTGTCACCTGATTGTACCTGATAGTTCTCCCCCAAAATTCATTGACATTGAGACTAAGCAAGTGACTTCCTTGAATCCATGCGTCCTTGAAAACACAGCTCTCAAGAGTGGTGGACACGTCTTATTTCTTCCCCAGGGAACAGGATGGAAGAGACACTGTTCTCATCCAACCCCATATCTTCATCCTCACCCTCACCATTCCATGCCAGTGAAGCCACAGCAGAAAACAGGCAGCTTCTCCAATGATGAGACCTTAATAAGCCTGAGCAATTTCTCTCGTAGGCACATGTCTGAGAGGTCCCTGCAGCATCATTTATGGTTCAAACAGTACAATCCAGACGTCATCGACTAATGACCAGGGAGCAACACACGACATGTTGATAGAATGGAATATTATTTGGCCATAAAAAACCCAAAGCAGTGCTCCATACTCTTAAAAATAAGATGCAGAGTCAACACAAAAGACCACAAACTGTGAGTGTACTGAATGTGAAACTCCCAGAATGGGCAGATCCAGGGACAGGCAGGGAGGGATAACCCACAGGAAGTGGGTCTCCTTCGGGTGATGAGATGTTCTGAAGGGACATAGAAGTGACAGTTGTACAGTATTGGGTGCCATAGATGCTGTCCAATGATGCGCTCTTTAAAATGGTTCTTTTTATCTTTGTTTTGTTTTTATTTTGAAACAGGATCTCATGTAGCCCAGGCTGCCAGCAAGCTTACTGTGTGGCTGAGGATGACCTTGAACTTCTGATCTTCCTGCCTCCACCTCTGGAGTGCTAGGATTAAAGGTATGCATGCCACTCCCACTTGGTTCCTTTATCTTATATTAATTTCTCAATTGAAAAATAGACGAACCTATCTCAAGGCTCAGTCCACCCTCTCTCCTCAGCGACCCCAATTCCTAGGCTCAGGACTGCCCAGACCTGGGCATAGGCACCTGGATCTTCAAGGACCTAGCTATAGCTTTCTTGGGGACGTTCCCCAGGAAGCTAAAAGTAAACCACGTTTTCCCTACTCAATCCTGTCTAAAGCTAGAACATGTTGTGAAATGAACAGAAGATTGCCCCCCTTTTCTCAAGAATACTTCAGAACCTTAGACCATGTCTCTGTGTGATGGTCCGTCTTCCTTGTCAACTTCATAGGATTTAGAACACACGTACATCAGAGTACCTTGAGGTTTAACTGAAGTTATCTGTGAGGTTTAACTGAAGCATTTCTAAAGAGGTTTAACTGAAGTAGAAAGACCCATCATCCTGTGGGCTTAAGTCCCATGTGCTGAATGAAAAAGAGAAAGCAAAGCTGAGGAGCAGACTCACCCCTTTCTGTGTCCTGAGGAGCACACTCACTCACCCCTTCTTTCTGTGTCTCCACATCAGATGCAAAGTGATCAGCCCCCTCATGTTCTACCACTGTGATCCTCACCACGATGAACTGCATCCTCAAACTATGAACCAACACAAGCCCTTCCTTAAATTACTTCTTTCAGGGTACGTAGTCCCAGGGATGAGAAAAGTAACCACTCTGCTTTGCATGACAGAAGGGGTTAATTTGAGGAATTCAAAATGTAGATGTTCCTGAACCATCCTGGACCAATGCCCTCACAAGATCCTTATAGGGGAAGGATAGCTAGAGATATGGAAGTACACTGCACTCCTGGCTTTGGGTGGAGGAAGGGACCACAAATGGAAGTTTGCATGGTCTGGAAACTGGAAATGACAGGCATGACTCCCTTACAGCCTACAGAGGGATTCAGCTGACACCAGACTTAATTGAATATTCAAGCACTACATGTATGGCCATGTGTTACAGCACTCATAGGACACTCATACGCTACCTGTGGCTTTCAAGGAAACCCTTCTAGTGAGCAGAGTTAGAGGGCCATAAGGACCTTCCCAGAGATTCCCCATGGCCTGCATACATGGTAGCATCAGCTTCCTTATGCTCTTGGGCCCTCACCAACCCTATCCAGCATGCCCTGTGCTGAGCTCCAAGGGAGCCAGGCAGGAAGCTGTGTTCAGGGAAGGTCCCTGGGCAGGGGAGGGCACTGGTCAAGGAAAAGGACTGACTTGCTATTGACTTCAAGATACTCCTGTAGCTATACTTCTGGACTGACTTTCTGTGCTGACCTGGCCTGGGCCTGGCTTGGTCTTGGGTACTGATTCCATAGGCAAGCATGGCCAAGGGGAAGACAGACTGGGCTCTGTACAGATCTCATGACCTCTCTGTCAGTGCTCAGCCCACACAGCTATAGCTCTGTCCAGGATGGTCAGCTGGTCACCAAAAGCCAGGAACTGAAGTGGGTGTGGTGGAGCTACAAATCCTGAGGCATACCAGGGACCAAAAGTTGCAGCTAAAAATGGTGTCCCTTGGCCTGTGTGCTCGACTTCACAGAGCCTTTATGAGGCCCATGAGCACTGAGTCCCCAACAGAAGATGGAGCCTGCAGCACTGCCCAGTGTCAACTAACCACTGCCCTGGCCTTTGTGGTGCACATTCAAGGCATGAAGCATCTCTGGTGGGGAGGTTTGCGTGTGCCACGGTGGCCTATGGAGCAGAGCCATGTGTGAAATGCACATGAGCATGAGGCATCTCCACCATGCCACTGGATCCCACAGCCCGCACCACACTTTGGAGGCTGCTACTGCCAGGCCTGGTGTACCCACGGGCACACACACACACACACACACACTCCCTTAACAGCAGAGGGAAAACCTCCCTGGCAGCTCAGAAAGGAAGACATATTTCACTGCCACAGTGTCAGCAGAGAGCAATCTGTCTCCTGCGATGGACGTCCCATTCAGTATGGTGACAGCTCAACCATCAGCAGATGCAGGATGCTTTGGGGGCACCCAGCCCAAGGCACAACATTTTAGCCCCCAGCCAGACCTGAATTACTCAGCAGCCCCAGGTCTGTACACAGAACCCAGGACAGACTGCAGGCTAGGTAGAGGGCAGGTACTAGGATCTGAGTCTGGGGCCAGGCAGAGCTTCAAAGCTTCCCAGCCCCCAAGCTAAGTGGTAGGGTTCAAAACCAGCTTTTCCATAAGCCATTAAATGTCCCCTGTGGAGAATATACCAACACCCTGGAAGAGGACCTAAAGTGACAGGTAGGCAGACTTCAAAGGCCCTGGAGCCACAGCCTCTCCTGTTTTGGAGGCATGGAAACAGGGTTGAGATTAATGTTGAGGTGAAAAGAGAGCCCTGCTGTGGGATGGTCTGTATGTCAAGTGTGTTGCTGATTGGTCAATAAATAAATCACTGATTGGCCATTGGTTAGGCAGGAAGTATAGGCGGGACAAGGAGGAGAATAAAGCTGGGAAGTGGAAGGCTGAGTCAGAGAGACACTGCCAGCCGCCACGATGAGAAACAGCATGTGAAGATGCCAGCCAGCCATGAGCCATGTGGCAAGGTATAGATTTATAGAAATGGATTAATTTAAGCTGTAAGAACAGTTAGCAAGACGCCTGCCATGGCCATACAGTTTGTAACCAATATAAGTCTCTGTGTTTACTTGGTCAGGTCTGAGCGGCTATGGGACTAGCAGGTGAGAGAGATTTGTCCTGACTGTGGGCCAGGCAGGAAAACTCTAGCTACAGAGCCCCTCCTGCGGACCCTAACCCATTACCTGTCATCCTTGAGGACAGTCAGATGGCACCCTGATTTCTACTCACCACAGGATGGCCTTCCAGGCAACGAGGGACACAAAAGGCAAGGAGAGCTGGTGAACCCCTTATCCTATGTGGGTCCTAGACTGATTTTCAATCTAGATGGATCCCACAAGCAAGGATAAGGGGCAGACAGGCCAGTAAAAGGATGGATGAACAAATGGACAGATGAACTGATGGACGGACAGACGGATGGATGGATGGATGGATGGATGGATGGATGGATGGATGGGTGTGTGGGTGGATTGGTGGATTGCTAAGTGGGTGGATGGGTGGATGAGTGGGTGTGAGGATGGATGAATAGATAGTTGGGTGGATGGATGGATGGATGCATGGATGGATGGATGGATGGATGGATGGATGGATGGATGGATGGATGGATAGGTGAACAGATCAGGGGCCAATTTCTGCTGTATCTTAAGAAATCTGCCCCAAATTTAAGTTTCTCCTAGAGACACTCTCCTGAGGTGCAGAACAACAAAAGCTGCTGTGGAGCAGCCACCTGGGTCCTGCTGAGGCCTAAGCTCAACAAGCTGGAGAACACAGACTCCCTGCCTGGGATTACCTCACTATTCCCCCTCCATCCTGGCTCCTTAGCCACAGCAATGGCCTCAGCTTTGGGGCGCTTTTCCACCAATGACTTCACTGGCAACTCCCAGCTACCCGCAGCTCAGGAGTTATTTCTTCATCACTGTGCATCAGCCCATCATGCCAAGCCCCTGCTGAGCCCCCTGCTGAATCCCCAGGGCCTTCAGCCATCATGATCCAGACTGCCCTCCATTCAGCCCTTACCCTTTACAGACCACTCCCAGGCAGACCCACAAGTTCCTGTCTTCCCAAAATGTCTCCCCGGTTCTACCTCCAGGTCTTGACACAGTCTGGGTGTATTTGTGGGCTCCCTCCTCAACTCATCCAGAAAAGCCTGGCACCCTCTCTGGGAAGCTCTCTCTCCATGTGCCTACTGTACTGTAAGGGACCAGGGAACCATGGTGATGGGGACAAGGGAAGGAGGTCTCAGCACGCCCTCTCGGGGTAAAACATGGGGGAATGGGGCAGAGGAGAAATGGGAGACTGGCTAGGAAAATTAAGACCTGTCAATGTAGCATGAATCCTAAATGGTCTTACTAATGCAAATAAACCTGGGGGTGAACGCTGAATGATCAGAGAAACAACAAGCCACAGCTTCCTCACTTCGCCAGTTCCTCAGCTGATCCTGTTTCCTCAGACTGGAAGCCTCTGAGTCCTCACTCGAATGGATCTCAGCTGAACTGCTGCTAGAAGCCTAAAAGCTTAACCCGCTCTAGTTCCTGGTACTCACGCCTTATATACCTTTCTGCTTTCTGCCATCACTTCCTGGAATTAAAGGTGTGAGTCACCGTTCCTGGCTGTTTCCAGTGTGGCTTTAAACTCACAGAGATCCAGGTGGATCTCTGCCCCTGGAATGCTAGGATTAAAGATGTGTGCTACCACTGCCTGGCCTCTGTGTTTAATATTATGGCTGTTCTGTTCTCTGACCCCAGATATCAACCACATGTCATGGCGGACATTTCTGGTCCTTGCAGAACTCTCCTACCTCAGTTACCCTCCTCCACATGCCTGCCCCTGCATGAACCCCTGCTGCCAAGCCTAGTCAGCCCTGTAGGTCCTGACCACTAGAAAGGCCCTGAGTAACGAGAGCCACATTTCCAACAGTCTCTTTCTCAGGAAGAACCTGACTCAGAGGTTGCAGTGTCATACTAGTGTCGAGGCCAGTACCCTTTCATCCACCTCCAATACACACAAGGTCTGCTCCCCCAACCCCAGCCCTTGGGACAAGGCCCTTGAGGTGACCCTGAGGCTTTGCACTGAGCCCTGTGGCTCCATTAGAAACATTCTGGGCCTACTCCAAGGAGAGGCTCCTTGTGTAGACTTAAGCCCTGGAGCACATTTCATAGGTTATCGTGAAGCATCAGCTTAGAAGGTAGACGGCTGGAGGGACCCAGCATCTCACCAGCCTCCAGCCTCCCATAAGCCTCAGCATTCTCTCAGACTTGTGTCTTGTCTTTCCCAGGAGCTGCACCAGGAGGAAGTGAGCACTTCCACATTATTGAATACAGTTCTCCGGGTTCCTGAGGACCCTCTCACTCTGTGACCCTGCCCTCTGCTGTTCTGGTGTACACCAGAGGGAACCAAAATGGAGAGGGAGGTGGGGAGTGCAGGAAGGTGGAGACACCAGGGAGCATCCTGCAGCATTTCCTGCCTCTCCCTGGGCCTGGCCTACCTCCTTGCTGCCATCCCCACCTTTCTCTTGCTCCTACCCAGCAGAGCCTCTCCGTCACCTGGGGAAGAAGACATGTCAGCAACCTCAAGACTCAGAGAGCCAATGGAGTGTCAAACCCATGCAAGCCACACATGCTCCTAAATGAACAGGGTCCACCAAATAGCAAGTGATTTCACCTATGCACAGAATCAACACTGTGTGCAGAACCCATGTTTGAGACCAAACAATCCCTACTGAGCCACCTGATCCTTTCCGGGAAAATTCAAGGGGTAAAATTGCAGGGGCCTATTCCCTGAAACCTCTCCCTTCCCTGGGCTCCACAGAGGGGCCTTGCAGCCCAGAGAATTTCCTAAAGCAGATTACAGGTCTTTGGGGCTGCCTTTTTTAACATGTCACTGATGGACCCATGGCTGGGCCATTGGCCTGGCTGGGAGTTTGTCCCTGGCTCCTGTGAAAGCTTTGTGGTGACACTCTGGAGTCTCAGTCCCTCACCTAGCCTTGGCCTTGGCCTCTCCCGCCCCCCAAAGAGAGCCTCCAAGTTTGTGCCCCTGTGCTCATTAGCTCTAGCTTCCTGCTACTGGGTCAGAGGGCCCCTCCTAGGGTCTCCCCTGCAGAGCAGGTGGTGGTCCACAGAGTCAGAGCAGCCTCATTCTCCTGGGAATGTCCTCCAAGGAATGTTGGTCCAACAGGCTCTCCACCACAATTAGCCGTCCCCTCATCCTTGCCCTATAAATATTCATTTTGGAGATGTTATAAAGATGCTTTTTTAAAAATGCCAAGCTCATTTGGATAAAGAGCTGAGCTGCTGCCAAGTGCAGCTGGCAAACTGGGCTCTAAGGTGCAGAGTGCAGAGACTCCTGAGCAGCCTCCCCCAGGTCACATGGCACTCTCTGGGGGATCGTTTAATTTGGGATGGGTTTTGGCTCCCTGCATGGAACATTTATAAACGTTGAAGCAGACTTGGGGTATGAGTGTGTGGTCCCTATCCACAAGAAGGTGAGCCATGATAGCCCTAAGACCCATCCTTGTAGACCTAGGTAGGAGATGACCACCCAGGGATGCCATATCACTGCCAACCTCTGTACAGAGCTTGCTCCACAGACAGCTCTACATCCCAGGGGCCTCAGCAGCCACTATCATTATCCTAACCTGACATGCCCTCCCTCTCCCCTGTCTGGATCTCAGGCTGAACAAACTGAACTCACTCTGTCTCCAGAGTAATCTGTGAATCTGAGTCTGAGTGGAGGCCACCTGCCCAGCCTGCCCTCCCACCAAATGTGGCTGGATGTTGGGATCCAATGGGTGTTGGGGTATAGCATTCGCTATTCACTGCTTCTGACTGTTTAAAGAAAGAGGGGTCTCAGGCACAGGGGTAGCCATAAACTTGTGTACCAGAGGAGCTTGGGTTCTCAGGCAAGGGTTGGACACACCCTGGAATCCCTGAGAAGGTTCATCTCTGAGGCACAGGGTCTGGCCATACTCCTGAGTCCCCAAGGACACCTTCCCTCCTCTGTCTCCTTCCTCCTTGACTAGCTTTCTCTGAGAACCACCCAGCTAGGGAGGGAGTCATCCACTTAAAAAATGAAGTTCCGTTAAGTCTTGATGAATGATTCTGCCGTCTCATAAAGCTCCAGAGGAAGTCCAATTCGGGTTCTCAAAACCTTGGAGGTATTCCTTAAATTTATTACGAGCCCTTATAAATTATTGAATTAGAGTCCTCGGGTATCCTTTTGTGGAGAAAGCAGGCCCGAGATGGTGATTGTCCCTTTATCTGGGGACTCCCCCAACTGTAGCTTGAGGCTCCCTCAGGAAATCTTAGTGTCAGGAGTATGGGCTGGGAAAGCCAGATCCACAGGATCAGAACAGGGGCTCAGCCTGGAGAGAGACCTTCAGGTATGGCTCTCTAGAACCTTCACCCATCTAGACCCAGGATGCTGAGGACATTCGGCCCTCCATCTCACCAAGAGGTAAGGGACTCTATTTCCCAGCTTCATCCGAAAACCCCAAACTCCAGCTCCTGGGGCCCTTGCTGTGTGTAATCACTTGCATAACTCCTTGACCTATAGGTATCAGAAGGAAAGGGAGGAGGGCAGGGCTGGTCTGATTGAAGGTGGCAGCCTTGCTGTGAACTCTGCCTGAAAGCCTTGGGAATGTGGAGCACGGCCCTTGTCCATAGCTTCAGCAACAGGGCTGTCTACTCCACAGCGCCAAGAGGTTGAATTCCATGACAACCTTATGAGTTTGGGAAAGGACTGACCTTCTGGAGAGACAGCTCTAGTCATCACCTTGACTTTAGTCTGTGGGCTCGACTTGAGGCCTTGCCACAGTCTGCCTTCAGTTCATGCAGGTTCTTTTTCTTTTCTTTTCTTTTCTTTCCTTTTCTTTTTATGGTTTTTCGAGACAGGGTTTCTCTGTGTAGCTTTGTGCCTTTCCTGGAACTTACTCTGTAGACCAGGTGGGCCTCGAACTCACAGAGATCCTCCTGCCTCTACCTTTCAAATCCTGGGATTAAAGGCTTGGGCAACCACCACCTAGCCAGTCCATGCAGATTGTACAAGAGGATCCCTAGGTCTCTCAGAGTCAAGTTCCTTACAACTCAGAGTTGTCTTTTTGTGTGGGCAGTAGACGGTACCTGCTCTGCATTTTATCCCAGAGACAGCAGAGCCGTGAGTCGTGGCCCTAGACTGTGTGTTGTGCCTTGTTCTGTGGCCAGTCCTCCTCCTGGCCCCACTAGGAAATCTAGAAGACTCCAAATGCTCTCCTTGGAGCCGTAGGACTCTCAGCCTGCTGCCTTCCTCCTCATGCTGCATTCCCACTGATCTAACTGTACCAAACCTTGAGTGGGGTGGGCTGACCACACCTGGAGAAGGCTTCAACAGTGGGGTGTTCTCCGAAACACTGGGACAGGGGAAGAAGCACTGCAGTGGGTGGTGGGGACAGGGTCTCCAAGGCAGGACATCGGACTTCCTGCAGCCCCCCCCCACTCCTGGCAAGGCTGCTGCCTACAAGGTCCTCTTTTGAGGTTCTGGGGTGACCTTCAGCAAGGCTATGATGCTGGCTGCGCTGAGGCATTCTGCATTCATGGTTATGAGTGATTTTATTGCCCAGTCAGTAAGAACCTTCTGATTATGTCATTGCAGAGGCAGCTAGATGCCAAAAAATATGCATT